CGTCGTGCTTGACAACGTGAGTGTCGAGCGAGGTACATGTTGAAATTCAAGGAATCTGGTGCCAGGTTTTAGGGGATGCGCCGACCAGCTGGAGGTCTCGGATGGCGTGCGTGGGTAAGGATAGGAAGGAAAGACGACCGAACGGTCACTCACTAATTTAACTTTCCATTCTGCTTCCTACTACGCACCTTTACCTTTCAGCAGGTTTTGAGCCCAAATGCCAACGGAGCCGACCGCGCAAGGTCCGCCTCCGTCGATGGAGCGGAAAGCACTGCCGACGCCCGCGCAAGGGAAGACGGCGACCAGAATGTCGCCGCGGCGGCGACCACGGAACAGGACGAGGCGTCGCAGCTGCTGAGGCTGCTCCGCGGCGTCGCCGGCCGGCTGGACAAGCTATAGGAGTCCCAGGTGAAGCCCGAGAAGCGCCTTGAGACGCCCAAGCAAGACCCGAAGTCCATGGTGGACACGAGCCTCTTCGCGTCGGCCCTGGGACGTGGGTCGAGGATGCACATCGACTCATTGAGCGGCACGCCGCAGACGCAGTCCTCTCGCCGGTCGACAGTCCACCCGCAGTATTTCGGGCTGCGACACGCGGATGTCGGGGTCCACGAGATGGGCATGTCTAAGCTGCAAAGGCTCTTCGCGGTGGAGCACGCCGCTCAGGCTAATCAGGAAGCACAGCAACCACCTGCGGCGCCGGTACCAGCTCAAGCACAAGCCAAGCCTGTGCAGAATCAGGGCTGGGCGCTCCGATAACCGGACGCCCGTCAAAAGAAGCTTGCGATCCGCCCGTTCGACGGTTGGGAGCTGTACGTCGGGCTGGGCTCCGACTTCCTGGACTGGGGCAGAAGATTCGAGCGGCAGGTGGCACTCGGGCAGTCGGCGTTCGGCTTCGCGTGGTCTGATTGCAGTACGTCATGGAGCATATGTTGGACGCGTTCAAGACAAACATTACGCCCGCCCAAGCCATGAAGCTGTTCACGGCGCCGAAGGACACCAAGCGATCGTGGCCCGAGCACTACATACACCTCGTGGCCATATCTGAGGCTACGGGGAGCGGCGCCGACTACTTGGTTCTGAACAACATCGCTCAGTACGCCTCCGCAGAGCTACGCACGGTGTTGATGGCCAAGGTGGACCAGTCGCGTACCGATTTCCTGCAGCACGCCGAGGAGATCGCACACTTCGCGCAGTCGTGGGAGACCGACGCGACCAAGCAGAAGTCGCTGGGCCGCGAGACGGTCAACGTGGTGAAGGATCACACCAAACAGCGCAAGGGGACACGGAGCTGCCACGAGTGTGGCCGTGTCAGACATCTACGGGCAGCGGGTTCAGACCTCAATAAACCAGTGGACATCACGCTGGCCGTCACGCCGGCCGTCGGCGAGCACATCAGCGACACTACCGACCTGTGGATCCTAGACAGTGGTTTCTAGTCGTCACCTCGTGAACGATGAGTCGATCCTCAAGGACGTGGAGGAGTGCAGCGACGAGTGCGTGCAACCCAACGGTGAGCCGCTGCACATCATTAAGCGCGGCAAGGTGCTGCTGTGTCTCACAGCGTGCGGTGAGGAGCAAATGATGGAGCTCACTAACGTCTACTTTGCGAAGGGCGTGGTGCACAACCTGATCTCTTACGGGATGATCGACAAGCGAGGCTTCGAGCTGACCCAGCGTGCCGGAAGACGCGTCGTAGCGGCCAAGAACAGCGGACGCGTGGCGTTTGACGTCGAGATGCGGAGCAACGTCTTGGTCGTGCCTGCCGTGGGGGAGCCGAGGCGCGAGCTGCCATCGGACGTGATCATGGCTGCTTTAAGCCGGAAGCTCACGGAGTCTGCAGAGATGCCGGGAGACGTGCAGCAGGGCACATTGTTGGTTTTTCACAAGCGTCTGGCCCACCTCAACTACGACGCGGTGGAGCTGCTTGCCAAGGACCCGAGCTCGGGCATTCACCTGACCGACTGCAAGCGCGTCAATTGCCTCACGTGCGCCGAGGGCAAGCAAACGAAGAACCGGCGGTCCAAGAAGAAAACCGGCGCTCACGCACCCATCGATAGGGTGGGTGGGACATCCGCGTCGACTTGAAGGGGCCGATAACACCCAAGGATCGGTTGGGCAACCGCTACATGATCAACTTCATCGACTTCAAGTCCAACTACTGCCGCGTTTTCCTGGCGCGTACCAAGGACGCCGCGGCCAAGCTCTTCGAGCACTTCCTCGTTTACTTCGAGAAGGAGTTTAACTGCAAGATCCACATTCTCCACACCCACTCTGGGGGCGAGTACGAGAACGTGGACTTGCTCTGCAAGCGAACGGGCGTGACCAGGCAGCGCAGCGAGGCTCGCGACCTGTCAAGGAACGGCAAGGCGGAGCGCATGCACCGAACCATCATGAACGTGGTGCGGTGCATGATCTTCGCCTGCGGGCTCCCGCTGAGGTTCTGGGGCGACGCGGTTCAGTAGCTGACAAATATCGTTTTGCGATTGTCCCCCGCCAATTTGATCATTTTTTTTCTTTGTTCTGTCCGAACGAGTGGAAATGTTCTAAGCCAATGAAATGCTAGCCTTTGACAAAACGGGCTAGGTTAAATTGCCTTTTTTATTTATATTCTATTGTGAATTTCGGCTCGTAAACAAATTTCCTGTTATTTACAATTGAGTTGAGTTCGACGCCCAAAACGGAAGATGAAATGTGCACGATTTAAGGGGCACCGAAAGTTCTCTATTGCGTGCGCGTATAAGCACATGGAAAGATTGAGTAGAGCACACAAGACTTATTAGAGAACTGTAGTTTCTGACGTTGGATAGCTCCAAAAACTACAGTTCTCTATTCTCAAATGAAAGTGCCCCTGTAGTGGTTCTGACTTCACAGCTATCTCTGTTCTTGCAGCATCTATATTTTATTTATGCCAATCTGCGCCTCGTTGTGGCCCAACTTAAGTACACTACTCCTGCACTATCGCGGATTTATAGTTTTAAAGAGTTTTTTTCTGGTACTAAAGTTAGTACATGTAACTAGTTGTGACAACATATAATAGGAACGAAGGTTACTGCGCGTGCTGTAAAGTGATAGAAAAATCGATTACATGTATAACGCCCTAATTGTAAGAAAAACCGCGTTGTATGACAATATGACGCGGACTTCTATTGGTTAGAACTAGCCGAGCGCCGCCGCTACGCGGCGGTAATTTAGGTTTTACTCTAGATTTTTGCCTTCCCGCCTTCGCTTCGCTTTGGCGGGATAATTAGTCCAAATCCTCTGAGTCCCCCATGTGCCTAAATCGACTTCTTTATTTTTATAAATCTGCGTTTCTTTTGCTACAAATTGCTGAGCTCCCAGTAAGCCGTGTAAATATTTCTACCGGTACAAAAGACTGAGACCCTAGCATCATACTTACCATGCTCATAAACGATTACGCTAGTGATCTTGGCAAAGTCTCTTTGTTGTTGTTGGCGATCACTGTACCTTAATCTTCCACCCAGAAGCACCTGCACTTCAGTCTAAAAACGCTAAATAATATATTTAGTTTAGCGTCGTGATCGATTTCACGGGCCGTTTCTGAAACCTAGATTGCAACAATGCAAAGAATATCTGTCCAGCTTGCATCAAATACCCGCTTGTACTGCCTGGTTAAGCTTGTAATAAACTGACTATTAACCACTTCGCATACCAAACTCGCTACTTTGAAAGAAAATTAAAAGTGTAACAGTTTGAATATTTAATAAAAATATTCAGGCTGTAGCATTTTCTTATGCATTGAAGTGTGTTCATTTTGTGCTGATTCAGAATTAGTCATAAGACACTCCAATCTGTGCCTGTTATGGTTATACTGTAGCCTTTGGATATAACGATGCGTCGCACGACGCCTTTTGTTGACGGCGGTATTTTTATTTGATACTTAAACGATGATTCCAGGATGGTTAAACGTAGATTAGGCTCTAAGTTGATTAACGTTTCTTTACGGGCCTACTTATAATAACCATAATTTACACCTCTCATGTTGTGTTGTTATCTTACCGCTGCATGTAAAACCTTATTCTACGCCTTGTCGGCAACGCGTCTGCCTATTAAGAAGTATCAGAATTTTGTTGTCTAAATAAACGCTTAGGAAACAATACAGTAGTAGTTGGCATCAGCACATATTACTTCTTTTCCACGTCAATCTAAACTATCTATCTTTGTGGATCTAGTGACAACGTTTATAAGCACAGCTTTGTTCTTACGGCAAGCCCACACGACCGGCTACTGCTGTACATGTAACATGTACGATTTAGCAATACCAGAAACCCACTCAGATAACTTATTATTAATAATGCTAATATCTTTACAATAAAAAAATTGAAATTATCATTTTAGTCAGTGTAACTCGCAGATCCTACTGAGTACAGAGTATTTAGTATACTTAAACCATGTCCTCGGAAACACGTGTACGCTAAGCACCCTGCCCTCCGTTTAGTACTCAAATATCAATGCATTATGAGAAAGTATAAAATATTAGAACGATGCCGCCTTCGGATAATGTATTAGCTTTGTGCAAATCCCCATATGTAAACTGGGAAACACATGCATTTATTGATGTCAACTACACGTTCTAGTTTTAACCAATTAAGGCCACCTTCGCTGCACTCGGCAGCCAGTAGAAATATTTAAATTATTTTATCCAATGATTTGTCCGGAAAAGCGTGACAGGCACGACAATTTAGTGTGACGGACAGACAGGTTGCTGCAGTAGATGTTTAAGATGATGACAAAACCGGTCACTTTGAAAGGTATCCCTGAATGCATTGAAGCACGACTACAGGATCCGAACAATTATTTAGCGTTTTTTTTTCTTTTGAAGGAAGACTCTTGTATCTCTTAGCAACAGCTCTAGCGAGTAGCTAGCTGCGACAACATTTAATGGGGAACGACGGTTACTCCTCTATCAGCGCATGCTGTAAAGTAAACCGAGACTGATTGCAGATAAGCTCACGCATATTTCGCCACTGGGGTACAGTAGCTCAACACTTGACGTTGCTGGGCTGGCCGCTGCATTTGCCCGTCGTGGACGCTTTCACCGTGACACCCGAGAACTTCCAGTCCGACACAACCTTCGTGTTCGCCACAATGTCGTACAGGTTGGTGGCGGTGCCCGACAGACCAGAGATGGTCACGCCCTTGATGGTGACGGCGCTCGTGGCCTTACCGGTGTAGCCGCCCTTGGACTTGCTGTAGTCGGAGTGGACCACGATGGCGTTCTTGACGTTCGACAACTTGTTGTTCGTGTACGTGACGTCGGACACGAGACCCTTGAGGTCCGCGATGGTCTTGATGCGGATGCCGTTGACGCTGTTGACGATGGTATTGCCGCTCACCGTGAGACCGGAGACGGTGTCGGCTGCGTTGACGGTGGAGCCGCCGAGCGAGCCAATCGAAATGCCGTGGCCGTCGCTGCAGTAATTGTTGCTGAAGACAGTGTTGGTGCTGGACTGCATGGCGAGACAGTCGTCCTGGTTGTAAATCTTGTTGCCCGTGATGGTGACGTAGTTGCTGCCGCTTAAGTCGAAGCCGTTCGTGTTCTTGGCCGTGCCGTCACCAGCGCTCGAGTCGAGTGTGAGTCCGCTGATGGTTGTCTTTTGATAGTTGAGGACACTGAAGGTACGGAAAGGCGAGTTCTTGATCTTGAAACCCGAGAGCGTGGAGCCCGTGACGCGGTTAAGACGGAAGAAGACGGGCCGGCTGATGGACGTGCCCTGCTTCCAGTACCAGGCGCCTTGGCCGTCCAACGTGCCGGAGCCGCTGACCTTGAGGTTGCTGCCACCGAGTAGAACGAGTGGACCGTCCCACTTCTTTTGTCCGAACGTGACGGTGCCGGAGATTAGGATGTTGGCGCCTGTTTTGGCCTTGCTCAGGTCCAGCGTGACACCGGCGGGTACAGTGAGCGTGCCTATGGTGATCGTGCTGCAGGACGAGATGGAGGTTCCTGCCTTGTAGGTGCCGCTGAGCGTGCAGCTGGAGGCCTCCTCCTGGCGCATCATGGGCGATCCGTTGACGGTGACGGCGAAGAGAGCGAGAGCGGCGAACGCGGTGGAGAGGAGCTTCATGGCTAGATGGGTTGTGCTTGTTGGTGGAGGTGGTGACTACCAGAAGGCACAAATGAGAATGAGACTAAAGGAACAGAGCGGACTGTGGAGTGATACTGGCGACTTGTGCAAGGAAGCGTAGGAGTGAGGTGTACGTTACTTTGCTGTCTGCGTCTCCGTCGCTGGGCTGTTAGAATCGGCGATCACGTGAGCCCAGATCCCACCCCATGTGGGAATGCGGCACTTGAGCCGAGCGTCCTGCCGCAGGACTCCTGCGCTCCAAGCAAATCTCCACTTCAACGTTGTCGTGCGTAACGAAGGTCATCCATATCATTTTGATGCGTTGATCATCGCATCACGCTTGGCGAGTCGCCAATGGCGACTGACACCAGGGTATCGTTCCGTTGAAGCGCCCCTCAAGCAAGACTGCTAGCGACACGAAAAGACCCCCTCCCCTTCATGGAGCGAATTGTCTGAAGACGAGTCATTTGGAGGTGGTGCCAGTTATTTCTAGCTGAATCAACTCTTTTTAGTATCTAGGAAAGTCGACTGAGCTGGAAAGGGTCAGCTACATGTACTTAGAATTCCGTCCGGGGCGTGGGAAACGAAAATGTAACCAGCAAAGTAGGGATCATCGATGCGCGGTACAGTACTGCACCCCGTTTTCGTGCCCTTGGACCTTTGATAAACTTCCGGATGTGATGAGCCTGAATCCAAATGAGCTATTGTTTGTAAACTTAAATCTGATTTATATGCAAATCCTATATGGTCCACCCCTGGTGCAGTAGTGTTCATAGTTTGACTCAGTGCAAGCAGTCACCTGAGGTGGAGGTCGGCTCGCGATAGATTCGTATTGAGTACAGTAACGAAATTACTTAAAGAATGAAGCTAACTATCAAAACTTTAATTATTTAATTGTATCGGTAAAAAAAGGTTACCGATGCAGCTGTTGAACTTGTTTTTTTTGCATGGAGATCACGCATCGGGATTCACAATGAAGAAACCATTCGTGTGACAATTTGTTTTCGTCGTCGATTTGAGACAGGCCTTAAGTAAAGCGACTAGCAAAAGGATTGGATAGTCGCACGTTGCACAGAAACGGACGCTACGATGAGACTTCAACGAAAGGTTTCGCTGAAAGGATAGATAAATTCGAGGAAATACCAGAAACACCAGCATTTTTTTGGTCAGCACCTCATAATCAGCAGGAGCACCGGTGCAAAACATGAACCGTATTCTTCCCATCAACTCCCGCTGCTTTTCAGCCACACACATAGACCTACCGTATGAGACAAAATAATGTATAATGTGTTGTGTAGACGACTGTACTATGCTCTGTCCCAAATTCTATTCTCACAACAAGACCGTCCAAGCGCCAGCTACTCGCGGGGTTCCAGAAGGCCTCAAGAGGACTTCCGAGACCGCAGAGCGAGCACCGACACGCCCGGAGGTGGCGATTGCTTGACCTCTAGTCCACGATCTTCTAGGCTACGATAGTGTGCGGTGTTCTGGTAATAAAATGGTGGATTTTATCAACGAGTTGTGCGATCTTGCGAAATGTGGAGATTATGGAAACAGCAGAGTTATGATTCCGCGCATTGTAGCCAAGATTTCTGCTTCCGCTGACCGCTACGTTGACGGTGGGTTCTCAATGAGCGACGCGGTTAGCAGCGAGGCGCACGCGTTAGTCTTTCGAGGAGCCTGTAACGATGTGGCACGCTTCGCAAACAGGAACGACTTCCCGAAGCGCCTACCCAATTCAATTACTTACTGCGCGTGATGGATATGCGTGCCTATGTTCAGCGTCGTGTTGAGAGCCTATGGGAAAAGAAGATTCCAACCCCTTGCGATCAACTCATAGTCAATCTTCCTGGATACTACTCTAAGCTGGTATTTCCTGCCGATGAGGCCTACGTGTACCCTGTGGAGTCATGGCTTCAAAGCGGGAATCGAATCTCGCCGATTCACGCAGACCATGGTCGTGTAGTGTCGTATATACCTCCAAGCCTCACGCACACCTTCAAGATTTGGGTGTTCTTCAGAACGCCTAAGTGTGCAGAATTGTTTAGTTTTGAAAACGGAAACGACACTTTCAATCGCATGATCGACACAATCAAATCGTGCGTACTAGTGCAGCGCCCGGGTGATGTGGTTTATTTGAACATGCTGGTATATCATTCTGTTCTACTTGAATTTATCCCCGGTACGCCGGATCACCTAAGGTGGGGGGTCATTTCTGGCAACGTGATTATCAGCGCTAAGGACAGATTGGCATCTTTTCGGTACGCTACTCGCGTTACCTCGGGCGCTCGGCGTGGCTCACTGAAAGCATGGGAGTCGACGTTGTCAGCGTATTGCGCCATGGAGAAAAGCGAATGGAAAATGAAAGAGTGTAAGGACGAGAAGGCGCGACAGATATACTATGAGCGTGATCTCGCCCATTTTCTTTCCCAACTTTCTACGCCAGCTGCGACGAATTACGCGCGCAATGCAGCGACTACTCGGTCATTGAAAAGGCGCACGAAGAAGAGCATCACACTGGACAAAATGAAGAAAATGCGAGCAGCGAAGAGGACAAACGCTGACACGAGCGATTCGGTGGAGCAACAGTAAGAACGTACTAGATAATCTAAATTTAGGTGTGATCTTTTCGTTTTTTATTGTTGGGAACTCGTTGAAGTGGTAAAGTATGCAACTTCAACGTCTTAATTTCTTGACGTGGCAGCCCCGTCAAAACATCCACGACTCCGCTGCATATAGATGTGCTATAATATATGTAAGTTTCTTGTCAGCTAAATATAAAGACACCTTCACGTAAGACGTTAGAGTCATCTTTACATTTCGTAACGTGTCCAATTAGTTCACTTCATGAATGTATTCACATAACTAGCAGCCCAAACAAGTATTGTTATCATTGATGTGATGGGTTTGCTGGATTACTTTGTAGGTATGTGGAAGCGGGTTTTGTAAAGAGCAAAATTGAAGAAAGAGTAAAAGAAGTCATTGCGTAGTTTGCGTTTAGCGTCAATATTATCACTTGAATTTTTATTTAGCTAGTAGCCCCGATAACGCATGATACGTTTAGCGTTCAGCAAAGGGTGCCTGTATTTGACGGAATGTTTGGCTGTATTTTTAAAAGAGTGAAGTAGGTGAAAGCTGAGGTGGGCTCACGTGATGACCAGTCTTACGTAATAAAGACGCGGTAGTGACAATTGGTAAGTTATTCCACATCCCTGACTAAGCTAAACCATTAAAGATTATCGAGAGAACACGGGAGCTCGTATCGCTGCAATGACTAAATATCGTGAGCCGGTAGCACCCCGGAATTTCTGCGAGACATGGCATTTAAGAGCAACGCAAAAGGAAATTTCTGAACGAACTCAATAATGGAGGAAATTAAGTGAATACAAGTATGACATGATATAAGCATACGTAAACTGACTTGAGCACCGTCGAGATTTATGAAGCAAAGACGTTAGACATTTAAAATCTCCCTTAATTTAGATCCTACTCCATCTCTAGTGCCGCACCACTATTGCGTGGGCGCCCGCGGGAGCTCTGTCCCTTTTTGCGACCGGATATTCCTCGATTGACAAGTGTCTGACGTCCAGTGAGATCCATAGTTCCACAGCATTCCATCGCGTAGAGTGTGTGCACACAATAGCCGTGCTTCAACGAAAAGGGACAAGGGCACTTACCCGAATTCATGTCAATCAGCCACCCCTTCGAAGGCATACCAAGCGTTTCCATTGCAGCAGTCAGTTTGCTCAGCCGGGCTGTAACGGGTAAGTCCTCAACGTTGCGTCGGCGAATCTCATCCTGTACACGCGGGCACGGCTTGCTAATAACACGGACTGTATCCAAAGGCTCGGCCTCAGTCGTGGTAGCTAGCAAAAATGCGATACTGTTCCGAGACTGGTGGTGTAGCTCAAGCAAGCCCGCCCGCGACATCGCCCGAGCTCGACGAACCAACCGAGAATCTGGCTCCGGGGACACGGCAAATGGTCTTGCGGTGACAGCTTCACTTCGGCAAAGAGTAAGTAGCTGGGGCTGTAGGGCGCCGACCTTCAGCTTTCTGCGGAGCGTGACATCTCTCAAAATCGCTGCATTGTACGTCTCGCATGGATTGTTCGTTGTCGCAATCCCACTCGGTGTATGGAAACATTGCCAACGCCACACCCTCTCGTTCAGATAGACCTTTGAGAAATAGGAAGAAAATTTCGCCAGTTCCGGAGTTTTTGACCATCTCGCTTGAGCTTCTCCTAGCTTCGAGTTGTAGGCCGCCTCATCCGTCGAGAAATGGAGCTCATGAATGTATTTCATGACAGATGAGGCCGCAACAGACCCCAACGAGCGAGTTTTCTCGTATACCTTCTTTGCCACATGAAAGTAGCACATCCGAAATACAAATTCTCCCCCTTGCCCAAACACGTCGTTCACCGCGTTCCATTGGGCTGCGTCAGCATCTCCCATCACATAGCGTACCCGGAGAAATTTACCAACTATGGTTTGGTACATCTTACACACGAGCGCAAGCACCTCGGTGTAGTGTAGTTGCTGCTGTTGCGAGACAATAAATATTGCCAACAAATGAAATCGTCTTGACCTGTTGTGGTGTAGCGGGATCAGCAAAATCTGCGAGATTGCCAGATCCAACTTACCAACTGCGCCCAGACACCGACTAACGGAGGGGGTCCCCCGATGATCCGTGTTCTGCTGAACTTTCCTCACCTTGTGTACCCGTCGGTAGGGCGGGATCTGCTCTCTCGGTAACTTCCGAAGAGTTCAAGTGGTGAAGCTTGAGTGTCTTGGCGAGACGTGGGGATGGGGTGGAGCAGCAGTGGAAAATCTTCACTCTGCGTCCGTGGATGGTTCCGTATCCTAAGCGAATATTCGAGCTTATGGATCCGGGGCCTAGATCGTGGATCTGGCCGTAGGGTTGCCTTGCGGGTGTGCTCCCTTGCCTTTGTAGTTCCTTTGCGTCGTACTTGCCGCCTCCTGTGACGGGATCTTGAAAGTTG